TCACAAATGGAAACAGAAACTCGTCAGCAGCTCAGTTTTGGTTTCATGTGACCACGATACTTTTATCCGAGCCTTCTCTGAACCATTCAGATGTTCACTGGCAAACTTACGCTGTGGCTTTTTGAGCGAGGGGGCTTTGTGGGGGCTAATTCAGTTTTATTTCTATAGCAACGAATCACAGCAACGATTTCCTCAAAGAGCTTTAAAGACAGAAACAATCAGCTCGTGTGTTTGTCTAAATAAACAGATCATCAGTGTCATGGATGTGGAGGTTTTACCTTGCAGCGTATGCGACTCGGCTAGCGCGCCACAATTTGATTGGACCAGCGGGCCACGGACGGTGACCAATGAGCTCCCGCGATTGGTCAGCGCTACCTTCAGTGGTGCGACGTGATTAAACTGGACTGAGGAAAGGCAGCCAATGAAACCTTTAGAAGCTCCTTGTATCACTTCCTCATCAAAATTCTCCATCCCTGCAAAGACACAGCCGAGCAGTGAGAAAGGCTTCTGGCTTCGTTCGGTCAAAGCTGAACGAGAAGGATTGATTACAGACACTTACTGGTGACTTTGCCTAACGTCAGCGATCGTATGAGGATCAGCTCTGCGTCAGATGACAGCGTGTACTTCCTGTGGACGTCCTGGTCGATCTGGTTGGATAGAAAGAAATCAGATAACAAGGTGATTACAAGAAATTCAAAGCAAGGTAACAGCAGCTGTGTTCACCGCAGCCTCACCTGAAACCAGCTCTGCCTACAGGTAGCTCTGAAGGGAGTTTGACCTTGTAGCTCTGTGCCTTCATGCTGACTCAGAATAATCGCTTAACATGGTGAAGTGCAATAAAAGTGTAGGATGAAAAGAAGCACATGACGTGCACACCTTTCCTCTGTAGATGAATAGTTCAATCCTGCTGTCTCGTCATGTTAGTTACATTGTTTCACTCAAATAGCTGCAGTGCTGTAAAAACGCATTTGCACACTTACATGTTCCTGATCATCAAATAACTTTGATCATCTGAGTAAATATTCATTAGGTGAAGAGAGCAATCCCAGCCAGGACCAGCACCATGACGCAACTTATGAATTCTGCTCTCTACCAGAAAATCCTGCAGGATAATTGGGATGGGAATGTTCCACGCAACATTAGTTCGATTCCTCAGGATTGTCCGTCTGGTTGCCCGTCGTGCCGTCTCACTGCTCGCACTCGAGCTACAATCAAGCAGCAAAGCGGTGGCGCAGCCTGCAGCGTGGGCTTTTTATTGCAGAAGAGAACGAAAGTGCAATGGTAAAGTGAAAACTGCCAACGCAACAAAGAAGGGAAATACCTGCAACATATGCACAACACTTTATCTACCTCACATCAAAGCAGAAAGGCGTACTGAGAGGAAACCGAACCAGCCCCGGGCCACGGATCAGTCGTGTGGTTGCCGTGAGGGTTCAGGCTCGGGTGAGAAACGATGGTTTTCAGGGTTTGTATCGTCAGGTTTCCCTGGGTCTTTTCCCGTGTGTTATGAATAAATCTTCTTGTTTTT